ATACTCAGGGTAGATGTGCTCAAATAGAGACAAAAATATCTGTGGTGGAACAAACAGAATCAATTTTAAATAAAAAAACGGAGGAAGAGGCACACAATATTGTGTTGTCATGACATATCAGGAAATACAGCACTGACATAACAACAGAATAACTACTAGTCAACAATTTTTACTACAAAAAGGGAACATTTATAATTTTTAGCTGCAACATCTGGCACTACACAATTAATGTTAGCACGAGTGACAGATTGTGAATTTTTAAAAAACTTTAGCCAATTTCCAAGGCAGGGGGCATAAAAAATTTGGCAATTGAGTATATACATAGATGCAGAATCATGAATCACAACATGACACATGAATACATCATAGATTACTCAATTAAAAACATGAGAAATGTGATACAGTGCACAATGTCAAAAGCCAGCACACATGTAGGTACTGTGTTAACAGGTGAGGTTTGGCCAACATCTTAGCTTAGAAAGTTATGCAGTTCCTCCTTCCTTCAAGCCTACACTATAGCGTCTCTCTTCTAATTGTGCCTGCACAAACAGATTGGAATGTAAGCCTGAAAGAGGCAGCAAATAATGTGTGTGGTGGGCTTTTTGGAACTGCTTGGTTAATGATACTTTCTATCTGATCTGTTCTGCTGTGTCACTGTATAGAGTACCAATGACCTGCAAAAGTAAGACATTTATTTTTTGTTTTCTAAGTGTTTACTGGGCTAACATGGCAATCATGACAGCTCTACCCCAGATCAGGACAAATACAATTGATTAACTGGTGACTATGATACTGTTTTATAAAATTATTGCCATGATATTAATATAATTTATGGTTGGCTACTTCAGTATTTCAAGTATGTAAGTGAAGATACTGTCTGAGATGGGGCTTACTTCAAATTACTTGATAAGGCCATATCTGACAAAGCATGAGAAACATCTCTGGCTCAGTTACATACTGTAAATACTGGAATAGAAGCATACTCTTTTTCTCACGGTGTCAATGTTTAAAATTTAAATATGAAGAAATGGAAGAAGTATGATTCCTAACCTTGTAATATTTTTGAATTCTTACAAATACAGATAAAATGCAAAATGCTCAAAGTACAGGTAATCTATGGCAAAAGTCCAACAATATTTTAATTCATCCACTTTGCTTCTCCCTCCCAGTTTGGTGTGATTACTCTTTCTAGTTACATTTATTATAGAAAAAGGTGTGTAATGCTTCTGAGCATAAAACATTCACAACCATTCAAGACAATATTAATACATGACAGAATGAACAATTAAGATGAAGCATAAGGCAAAACTTATTTCTTTCAATATTTCCATTAATTTGTTCTAGTACAAGAAAGATAATTTATTAGGTAAATGCTGATGAACAAAATTATTCATTTTAAGCCGTTATATAATTAACGTTTTCCAAAATAATGAGATACTTGGCAATCTGAATTGTACATTCATGATTATTGAAGCATTACCACCATTTCTTGTCTTGTAATTTTAACACTTTTTCCATCGTGTAAAATGATATCCCTGCTGGAATTATTAGGTTCTGTTGATGCAACAAAAGTAGGGCCTACTTTGTCAAGTTGGTCTTCTGGGTTGTAATTGAGTGTGGACTTGTAGGAAGCCCTGATGATGAGGAAAGCATGTTCCTCTGAAATGTTGGTATCTACATACTAGTCCTCACAGCGTTACAACACAGAAAACCAACAATGGCATCTTCACTGCCATGACAACCCCAAATCTCAGACAGGGCCTACTTTCCTAATGCAGTATTTACCGAGCATTACTCTAACAGTCATGTCATGTGGTTTCAAACTACCAGTGTCTCACCTTCATGTCTTATGATTTCTTAATGAAACTGCGAGTATATACTAAACAGTAAGTCCCTTCAACTCCAATAAACACTGTCAACTGCAACTGTTCCAAAATATATTTCAAACACATGAGTATTTAAACTGAATTTACATTACCTAAAACGTGAATGCTCCTGACTTTTCATTATCTACAGACTAGTGTTTATTTTTGTAAATACCAACAGCAATTTGGAATGCACTTGACTGTCAACTACCATGGAGGGTTATCCTCTAACAATGTGTAGATTCACTGTACTGTGGCCAGCTGCACCAAACCACCTTCTTCACATTTTAACAATGCATACAACAATTAATGTAGTCATGAATGTCCCTGATTAATTAAACCTGTCAATAAACCGACAGCAAAAACGTTATCACCTATTAGTGAATAAATTAAACGCATTCTGGTGCAACAGGCCAATCAGTTATGTGGAAGGCAACATATATAATAAATGTGTTATATTTATGTAATATTGAGTTAAAAACAGACCTTTACTCAAATACCATTATAATAATTAGAATCAATAAAAATAATTAGTTGCAACATAGCAATATTTCATGTTTTTTCCAGCTGCTTATTTGTTTCTATGCCTTCTTCATTATCATTTCCTTTATTACTGGTACCCGTTTCTTCAGCATCCTGCTCGAGTTCTGTTTGATTTTGCATTACATCCTCCACACCCTTCTTTACTGCAGATGATTTCTGTTCACTTTCACTGCCTCCTGTAGAAGCCTTGCTTTTGGAGCTTGAGCTATCTACACCAGCAATACCCTGTTCTGCCGCATTCCCACCACCACCACTGCAACTACTGGCCTTACTAATACTACTACTACAGCTACTACCCTGTTCCCTGTTACCTTTACCTCCACCCTCAGCTGCAATTCCACTGGCAATCCCATTATCCGATTTCTTCCCCAACACTTCCCCAGAACTTTGTTCTCCATTAACTGTCCTTGCAACAGGAACAGCACTACCATCCACAACTGTCTTCTGCTGAGGTTTTCCTTCTCCTGCTTTCTGATGGTTGGTTCCTGCTGTCACTGTCACTGCCTGCAATGGTGTGTGGGCCGTTGTGGAATTCTGGTTTGACAATGATGGAGACATACGCAACTTTAGCTGTTGAGAGGCTGAAGGAGAGTGGGATGTAGGAGGCGGTGTTCTCTGATGGGAAGCATTTTGAGATGTAAGCTGCCCTGCTGCATTATTATTGGGAGACTTGCCTGACCCTGGAGCATTAATGTTAGTGTTAGAGTTGACTGAGTTACTAGCCTGGGAACCGCTTTTGTGCTGGGGAGTTGATGCTGGTATCCTCTGCACAGCAGGAGGTGGTACACCAGATTGAGAGCTTGGTGTGGAATTGTGTGTGTGAGAACGATGATGAGGATTGAACAACATATTGATGGAAGGAGGAAGGGGGTGGTATGCTCCAAGACCCATACCACTTCCAGCACGTACTAATGGGGGTGGGCCTGCTGCCATACGATTGCCACCAACCCCAACACCCATACCAGTGAAAGGAAAACTTGAATAAAGAAGATTAGGAAGAAAAGGAGAGCCTAAAGGATTATTTGGTGATGCACTACCTCTGTTTGAATTAGAATGAGCTGGTAGAGGAAACTGCTGAGTATGTGTTTTGAGGTTCTGTGGTGTCATGGAAGATGAAGGATTAGAAGGCTGAGGAGATGGAGAAAGAGGAAGAGGCGGCGTCCCTGGTGAAGAGGATGCTCCAACAACGATTGGACTCAAAGTTTTAGGGTCAATTTTCATCAAAGTTACACCAACATGTTTTGATACTGGAGGAGGTATAGAATCTTGCTTATTTGGCGTGACAGATCCTGCATGATGGGTGGTTTGCATTCCCGAGATGAGTGGTACCCCAGATTCTTGTTTATTATTGCCTCTGAACTTTCCACTGGAAGATGCATTTGAAAGATCTGAACTACCTGAATGGGCAGAGCATGTGGAAGGCACAGACTTAGCTGAGGAAGATGCAAGTGTTATGTGGACTGGGGTTCCACAATCTTGAATTTTACTGTAGTGCTGCTGACTTGAGCCCGAAACACCAGAAGAAACTGACTTTATATCAGATGATGTCTGAGTAACAGACTGTGTAGAAATACTGCAGTCCAGTTTATTATTTTGTTGTAAATTTGTACTTGGTTGTGATAACAGTTTCATCCCTGATGGTGGTACAATTGGGAGAGTAGCACTAGAATCCATTTTACAACTCTGTTGATTCCCAACATGATACCCAGTCACAAGAGACTTTGAATGTGTCGTATGTGTGGCAGCTGACGATACTGTAGTAGAGTCAAGTTTATTACTACCACAGGTACCAGTTGTATGATACACAGCCTTTAAGTTTCCAGTAGAGTTATGTGGTGTGCTATGCTGACTTGTAGCAGAAGCTACCTGGTACACTGGCTTTGTAACTGAAGTTTGTCCAGTGGTTTGTGTTACTAATTCCTGTTTGTTTACTGAGGCAACTTGATACATTGGCTTGACTCCAGAAGCAGGGTTACCAAGATATCGTGGCATATTACGCATTTTAAAAAATCTATTTGGCTTTGCTGGAACAGTATTGCTTCCACAACTCACAGGTTTATTATTGCTTGGAACAATTCCACCAGAACTGTCAACACCTTTACCAGGTAGATCACCTGACCTCCGTCCATCACATGATATACCTGATGTATTTGCTGTATACGTGTGATTTTTGGTAGAGGATAAGAAACTCAACCTGGTAATACTCTGATTCCAACTTTTGGGTGGTGTTTTAAGCGTCTTGTAACCAACAGGAGATGAACTACTGTTTGCATTCAAAGTTTTTCTGCTGCTTGCAGAGTTTGTCACCACAGCCTGGGTAGGAGCAACAACTGCCATCTTAGGTGTATCTCTCCTAGGAAAAGTGCCAACACCATCATTTACCTTACTCACTTCCTTACTATTTGCGTTCGATGAAGAATGTCCAACTTTTAATGCTAGAGGTTGTGACTGAGTACTCTGTAGATCTTTAATATGTGATGGTACAGAAAGTTGAGTTTCAGATAACAGACAACCTGGCTTAATGTTTTTACTGCTACTGTCCAATGACTTTTTGTTCATTGCAGTCAATTCATCCTTTTGCTGTGGCGATACAACACTGGAAGCAATGCCCGATGATGACATAGGGGATGGTACCAAGTGTAAGTTTAATGGGGCCGAGGTCACAGGGAGAGACAGTATATCATTCTGCTTGGTAGGACAATTTGCGTCTATAGCATTTTTTGCTACAGCAATCTCCACTGTTGATGTTTTGGCAACACTTTCAGCTGAAGCTGCCTTCACATATTCATGCTTTTTAGAACCACAATGTGCATTCACAACCAGAGGAGTTGTAATTGTTGTACCTGCTGCACTTGGTAAGCTTTGAGTTGATGTGGTTGCAAAAGTTGTCACTGTTGATGAAACTGTTGCTGGTGTTCCTGCCATTTCATCCACATTAGATTTATGATGTTCAGATTCTTTAGATGATATAGTATGTCTGGCCTGTTCTTGAATTTCTTCAGAGGATCTGCTTTTCTCTTCATTACCACACAAAATTAACGAGATTTTTGAGCTATCTGATACCGGAATACAGTTGTTCATTACTGTATTATTGTTATTTTCAATCACAGGAGGCATTGTAATGTCTGTCACACTCATAATGCCATTCTCGCTGATCTGAATTTGAACTTCCTTCCATGATTCACTGCCACTATTATTGTTCTCCTCCTTTGAAACACTGTTCTTCAACTCTTCAGCATTCTGCATCTTTTCATGCTTTGATTCGTCATATGTCCTAATAACATCCACATCCATAGATTCTCTCTTTGTAGTCACTTCATCATCTTCTTCAACAGATGTCACTGTGACCACATTCATGGAAGTACCAGGATCCAGTTTCATTCTCTTGCTGCTCAACTGACAACACTCAAAAATTCGGTAACTCAAGCAAAGTGGGCCTTTCTGAAAACATGAAATAATAATAAATTAGTTCAGAAATGTGATTATCAGGATTCTTTATTTGTATATCTTAGCAATGGCCATGGTATGTTTCACAGTATGATTCAGTGAAAACAAGAATACAAAGCTAAGTGCATAGTTAAACCGAAGATAAATGAACCACAGAATGATGAAAGTATGTGAAGTGGAACTTCTAGATCACTTACAATTAAACACAAGTGTTAAAAGTCTGCTGGAACAATAGCCAGCAACATAGGGGACCTAACATTCCCCATAAGGCAGAAGTTTATGGGAAGGGAGAAAAATCTCACACATATGATTCAGCTGGTATCAAACCCAAGATATTCTTGGTGCATAAAGCCCATGGCCCCTAATCATAAGGTCTTCAAACATATACCAGTGTTATTTTAATAATTACCCTTCTCCACCTGTAGATGTAAGCCACATCCATAAGTGTAAATTCTTCACTTAGTGGATCATCCACGTGCATAATGTCCACACGATGTTCAGCTGAAAGGCCATACTTAGCCCGTATCAGTTTCTGCAGATGCGCTACTGTCACAGCTGCAGGACACCGAAGATAGCGCCTTGATGAGAGTTCCTGTACCAAGTAAATTCAACATACAACAATCACACATAAATAATCTTTAAATAAATTCTGGCAATAACATCTCTGTACAGATACAAGCCTACATGTAAAACTGAAAATCAATTACTGGTGGGCAATGAATGAGTACCATTTTACATTCCATGTCTTAAAACAGGTCATGATGACCTTCACATACATTCTTCTCAATTCACAATTTATAACCATTCTGCAGCTTCTTGTTCAATGCTCCATAACCTCTGCAGTTAACACAGTATCATACACCAAGGAAATCAAATATTCTTAAATACGCAAATAATGTCTTCCAAGAGTAATTCTTACTTTAAATTCAGTTACCTCTTTATCTGGTGTAGTTGATTTAAAATATTCAAGAGACAAACAAATGGCCTCATCAGGAGTATAAATATTTGATTGATCACTGACTTCTCCCTGATCAAGACAGCTTGTTGGCTGGGCCTCAGGGTGTTTAGCATAGAATTCTCGCCGACAACGCATCTCATCTATAAAGTACAACAAAATTATAAAAAATATAAAACTGCAGATTCTAAATTACATTTTCAGTCTTCTTATTAAAACATATTAAATGACACAAATTTCATCAATCAAATCTTATATCATATATCATCACTAGTAACACTAAACTTCCATCAGCAAATATTCGAAGATACACACTGTTTTATCTTTGTTATATCCAAGTCTTTAGGTATATTTTTACAACAAATTAATCACTTATTTGTGCCTGTTTTGCTTGTACAGCATAACCCTATTTTTCAACAGTACGTAAATACATTGATGATGTGAAATAAACAAGTATGGTCTTGTTAATATATTACGTTAGTTCAGCACATTTTAATTTAATTTCATTCCACTTTTATTGTGATCAAATTAGTATGCATAAATAAATTACAAATTCTAGGATATGTTTGGTTGTAGATAAAACAAGGTATGATCACTTCCATAAGAACAGGATTTCAAATTAAAAATTAAAAAATATTATTCATATCATGTATTAATAATTTATACCTATGAACAGATGTATGTTCAAATATAGTTCTAAAAACACAAAAGACAAAACAAAAAATTGTGTTGATATTATTGTGCACAACCAACATTAAAATTGACCATTCCTGTAACACACTTTAGAATTACTGAACTTCTTTTCTAAAACAACAACATAGCAGTGGTTAATACTCCTGTCTGGCTAGTACTGCAATGTCAGTTCACTGAAGATGGGGAAGAAAAAAAAAGTTTTGCTATATAAAAAACAGCAGCATATTTATATTACTACTATAAATTACTAACATAACTTCTACTACTACCACCACCACCACCAACAACAACAACAACAACACTGCTGTTGCTGTTAAAAAAACTGTAGCTCTGTGGTGCAGCTGTTGTGGCCATTTCCACAAAACCTGATTTCCAAATCAAAATTTGCAATTGCAAGACAGTCATGATTCAACATATTTTACAATTTACAAAATATCTATAAACTCCCCTTGTTCTAGTATTCTTCATGACAAGCACACAAATTCACATACAGAACCAACCTATATGCATATAATTGACCTCAAAAGCAGCCCACTTTATACTACACATTAACAAGTAATAAAAAAGACTAAAATAAAACACACGCTTTCGTATAACAACATACCAAAGAAACTTAATAACCATTCTGAATACCCACAAGCCTTTTGTTTCACTGCACAGCAGATCTCAATACAGCTGTCACCCTGTTGTAACACAGCAACATGAGGTAACACAAAATTCAGTCACAGGTTATACAACAGATAACTGATTTAGCATGGTTTATAATAGATCTAAGAAGAACAAATATGACTGTAATGCTAATGTAATGATAAAGCAATGTTACATGCAAAGGGATGACACTAGGAAGATGAGTAAAGTACCGGGTCTACAATTTATGCGGCAGCGGTCGTGCTTGCATTGCGTGGTCGGCCGGCACACTGTTGATGTGGGAGAGAGTATTGCGCGTCCTTCCCATGAGTCACCGGCGAATCAGTTTCATTGCGTCTCTCGTTGTGGATTGACGTTGATAATATGGTGTATAGTATTAAGCAACGTGTGTTCTTAGTCGAAACATATGCCAAATACTCATCCTACGGAAGATGCCGCAGTAAATATCGCAGACATTTTCCTGGTGTAAGTGTTCCTAGCAGGTCCATGATAGAGAGATTAGTAAAAAAATTTGGTAGTACGGGATCAGTTTTGGATAAAAAGAAGAACAGGAAACGGAGTGTATTGGCGGAAGAGAAATTGGATGAAATCTGCACACTGCAGAAGAACTTAAAGAAAATATTTGACAACTGATTTTGGCAATTACCCCAGAAGAGCTTCGTCAAGTATTTCGAAACATGTTAACGAGATGTGAAGCTTGCCTGCAAGCACAAGGAAGTCACTTTCAACATCTTTTGTGATTTAAGGTAAGAACAATTAATGTAATAACATGTATTAGTGACGAGAAATATTCGCAGTTCGCTGTTACTAGCGGCACTGAAACTGATTCGCCGGTCACCCACTGGAAGAATGCGCAATACTCTCTCCCACATCAACAGTGCGCCGGCTTACCACGCAATGCAAGCACGACCGCTGCCGCATAAATTGTAGACCCGGTATAAGAAATATACAGTATTCCACACTGAGAAGTTACTGTACAATAAACACTAACACAATTACTAACTTTGAAATAAGCCAGGCACCAGTTTGTAGACAATGTCCTGTAGTGTCTGGTCAGCGCGTATATTCTGAAGTGGTCTTGTTTTATGGACCTGCACATCACAGATGGGGCAGTACTTGTTGGTCTCAAGGTAACGCACGATGCATGCTTTACAAACTGCAACAAAATCATAAGTAATAAATCATAGCAACAAGCTAAAACCAATAAATGGATACAGCTATACCCACTAAATTCATTTATGACAATCACTCATAATATCAGAGTGCCCTTTCCCATTCACCTAGTATGAACACAGTAATCTTTGTGGGATTTCAGGATTTTGTGGCAAAGAGAATGAAGATGGTAGTCTTCTAGGATGTTGCACCGTAAATATTAACTGATGTTTCAGGAGTTTATTACATCCAACATCAGGAGTGACTCATCATCCTGATAATGGAGCGAGTAAGATCCTTTGAAATAGTGGTTAATATCTGACAAACTATATGGCACGATATCTCAGAAGACAACCCACCTTCACAGTAATCTTTAGCTTGAATCTTATTAACAGCTGCACAAATTGTTTCCACTGCACTTCACTTATCAGACGGCAGTACCTTTTATTTTGACAAAACCATGTGTAGAGTAACAAGGGATTAAACAGTATCATTCTCAGGGAGAGGTATGTTGCTACCACTCAATGTCCACTGATTTGGGTCATGTTAGCTACTTTATGGATATGATGTGTATCCTAATAAGAGTAAAAATGGTTCATTTTTCAGAAAACAGATGAAGTATACTTCTACAAACATTATCTAATAAAAGATGGCTGTCTTTTGGGTTGTTGCACCGTGTAGTCTGGTACATGTTTACTGAAGTTTCAGAGGTGCTTGCTGCCTCCATCATCAGGACAATCACTGCCCATCATCACCCTGATAATGGAGGCAGCAAAAACTTCTGAAACACTGATAAACTTCTATCATACTATACGATACAACAACTCAGAAGGCATGTTTGTTGCCATGAAAACCAGAAATCTCACATTCTGTAATAGAGTCAAAGAGTTACTTGAAAATATTTTAATTTTACAGATATTCTGAGCAGAATACTAATATACAAAGCACATTCCTCACAAAACAAAGAAGAAATGTACACACACACACACACAATTATTAACATAGACATATGGTTGTATGCAGTATATCCCTCATTGATTCATTAGAAAACTGATGTATTTAGTTGCCATTTATGTGCTAGATAAAGTCATGACCAATGTCATTTTGTTTTGTAAAATTTATTCCACAAAGAAATAAAATTCACAGAATAAATAATTTTTTTACATAGGACATAATACTCCCAAAGGCCACTTTGTTAAACATATGGTAGTATGTCAATATAAATAGCATTTTGGTCACCGACTGGTAAGTGTATAGCACAGAACACTTTGAGACACAGAAAATACAATAATTCTGTCCATTTTAAACCAATTTCATAAAGTAAAAGGTAAAGCTCTCTCTATGCTAAAGAATCATAAACCACACACAATACCACACAGGGGCTGGTGGCAAGTATAGTATTCGTCTCATTCCAAATGTATAAGGAAGTTGACTTTGTTAAGAGATAACTAACATAGCCCTGATGTCACATATATTAATATAAATATACAGAAAACAACATCCACTTTTAGAAATGCAAAAATTAGGTGTATGTCGGACAAAAGCAGATATTAAAAGCATTAATAAGTAAAATGTTTTATGTTACATGCATTTTATATCATAAATCATACCTGAGAAATTTCTTAACATACAGTTTAAGCATGATCTTATTTGACAAATGTTGATTCTCTCACTTAATGTTAAATTAATAATAAGAAACATTTGAATGATGAAAAGCAGTTGGTAACAAAACTCACAATGGTCATTTATAGGTAAAATAAGAATGCTTGCATTGGTATGGATAAGTACATGTGCACATCTCTATGACAGTTATACTTACTACAGTCTACCTTCTTTTTTTTACATATCTGACATGTATCTAGAAACAGAATGCAACAACCCCTTCTAAAAATAGGACAGGGAGAATGGACATAAATACGGATTTACTGTTAATGTATGTGATAATACTCAAGTAGCACATATGTATCACACATCATACAACATGCTCACAAACCTAAACATGCTAATGCTAGCTACAAATAAATGTTCAAACTATGTTTTCAGCATCCCTCACATGCTATGCTTATGTGTAAGGAATGAAAAGTAAAGAAACTAAAGGCAGGACTAAAAAACTGGTTCAATGAAATGATCTGTAAAACTTTAGGTTAAATTATATTCTTATAGTTCATGTGAATGAATATATCTCTTTCATCTCCATTTTCCTCCTAGTCCTTTTAAATATATCAATCTTCTTCAGAGTTCATTCATGTATAGAAGGACCTGAAACTGATTTATTTTAAGCAAACTACTTTCCGGACATTATCCATCGTCCCAGATTTAATAAAACACTCTGTTTCAGAGATTGGGATCTATCTCCATCTTCAGGTAAAACCTATTCTGTTGGGCCCAATTGATACAGCTAGTCCCTATCTCTGGACAACAGCAGTACTGAAAGTCAGAGCACATAAGCTAAGTGGGACAACACATTTCCATGGGAGATAAGGAAGGAAAATCCTGCTGTTGTCCGAAGATAGGGACTAGTTTTATCAATTGGGCACAACAGAGTGGGTTTTACCTGAAGCTGGATATAGATTTCCAATCTCCGAAATGTCATGCTTTATTAAATCTGGGATGATGGATAATGTCCATAAGGTAGTTTGCTTCAACAACGCACCATCATCACAAACCTTCAGAATTATGATTACCTCAAACTAGGTTTTGAAATGGTACTGCCCAGTCCTAGGAATGTGGCAACAGTGAGAAATGGAGAATATCAGTAATCTGAATTCAAAAGTAACCTATAATGACTGGTTACAGCATATAAGATAAAAAACTAATATAACTAAAAGTTGCCTTAAACCACTGGAACCTCACATCTAATATATAACATACTACTAAATTTGAATTGCTGTTAATAAACAGTAGTGTCTGTAGTGGCCAAAAATAGAATATTACAATATGTTACTGTGAAAAATTAAAGTATGTTTATTTGTTTTTACTTACATAAGACCTTCATTATTAAAAAATAAGATGAATAATTAATGCACACTGCCAGAATAATCAGAAGAAACAAAGAATCAATTTTCATTTGAATATGTATTAGTGACACTTCAATTATTATATAGTTAAACAATTATAGTTTGTCTTACATGAATGTAAACATTCAATGATGGTTGTGGCATCAACATAATATCCACCACATAAGACACAAATGAGATGTGGATTCAGGTCTGTGATCTTGATTCTTCGTGGTCGATGCATCTTCCAGTTAGAAAACTCACCACTTGGCCATAAATGCTAACAAACAAAATAAACTGTTTAGAATTGACAGTACTAGATCAATATCATGCAGTTCTTATGTATTCCGTAACTCAGCTCCAGCATGTGCAGAAACCAAGATACCATTTCTACAAATGATGTCAAAACATTGGTCTTGTATCAGTAAACACCAACAGCTGTGGTGGTTACCTTTTCTGCTATACGTCAATAGTGAACACGCACATGAAATAATGGTCGCAGTATATCATACGTCAAATCAAATCCAATGGCATAAATATATACACAACACAACGTGTAAAGGTGTACAAAATATCAAAAAGTAATGAATTACGAGAAAAAAAGACTGACGCGTTACAAAATAAGCCAGCCATATTGGAATGCACAGCCTATTTTGTGCTATCGGTGACCCCTATTACAGCAGGTTCGAATATCTTATTACATTCTTATTGTCAGGCTTCACGGATAAACAAATCCTTTTTAATTTATTTCTTGTCAGTATCAATTACCTTTAAATGAGCTACTTTAACTTCTATCTGTTGCTATCCCATTTGGCCAATTGGCCCCTACAAGCCACGAGCCCGACTTTCTGAAAAACTCAGGTCGACAGAAACACAACCTCGATTTCTGTTTGGAGGGAATCACGTGATGCCGCCAAACGTCAGTTCGCATGCAAATTACACATTAGTTACATATACCATGAACAAATTAACTAACATTTTCAACACTGACACAAATACAAAGCGCAACACAACAAATAATTAGCGAAAAATAACCAGAATTACCTGAACTAGTTATTCGACAACAATATTTAGTTTACTTTACTACCGTTAGATGACAAATACAGTTCTTCAATTACATCAACAGATGGCTCATTACACTACCCAACGAACAAAAAAACTTTCCTTCAATTTCTGTGGTTCTTCTTATCTATGGACGTAAACATAGGTCTTATCAGTGGTACATAATAAATAACCTACTGATGCCTGCAGATGAATGACAACCCGAAGTTTTGAAATTG